ACCTTTAACTAACAAAAGTACTAAGAAAATATTTCCAATGTTTTTACTGACCAAATGAATTGTATTATATAAAGATAAACACATTTTGATTTGGATGGCTGCAACACACTCCAAAAAAGTTGAGACGGGGCAAATTAAAAGTAAAAATTGATTATATAATATCCAAGTTGAACTGTTTATAAACAGCCCACAATAAGCAGGTGAATTGGCAATAGGTGAGGGTATCTTGATTAGGGAGCATCTCAGTCTTTGCTTGCAAAGATGGGTCATGGCTCACCACTCTGTGCCAAGTTTCATGAAAGAATTGTCAAACAATTTTAAAAAATCACATTTCTCAATGCAAGATTGCAAACAATTTATGTCTTTCACCATCTACCATTTATAATAATGTGAAAAGATTCTGAGAATCCAGAGAAATCTCAGGCTGTGTAGGGCAAGACAAGAAGGCGTCACCTTCAAGCCCTCAGATGGCACTGGATGAGAAACCATCATGCTACTCTGTTAAATATAGCCACATGGGCTCGGGAGTATTTTGGAAAACCATTGTCACTTAACACAGTCTGCTGCTGCATCAAGAAATGCCACTTGAATCTTTGTTATGCAAGGAGAAAGCTTTACATCACGCCACTGAGTTCTCTGAGCCCGAGCTCATCTCAGATGGTCTAAAAGACAGTGGAAATGTGTGCTGTGGTCAGATGAGTCCATGTTTCAGCTTGTTTTTGGCGTTCAGACAGACATTGAGTTCTCAGTCCCAAGGACAAAAGGGACTTTCATCAGCGACAGGTGCAAAAGCAAACATCTGTCATAATACGAAGATGCATCAGTGCAAACGGCAGGGGTGACTTGCATGTGTGTGAAGGTATCATTGACATGGAGGCGTATATTCAGATTGGAAAGAGACATGTAATGGTATCAAGATCACATCTTTCCTAGGAAGCAAGACAATGCCAGGCCTCATTCAGCAAATGCTACATCAGAGTGGTTTATAGACACTACACCATAGAGTGGATGTCCCTGACTGCCTGCCTGCAGTCCAGATCTGTCTCTTATGGAAAATGTATGACCCATCATGAAAAGGAGAATCAGACAACAATGACCGCAGACTGTTAAGCAGCTATTTTCTATCAAGCCAGATTGGGTAAAAATTCCACTTGAAGAAGTTAGTTCTCGAACAATTAAAAAGTGTAATTAAAAGGAAAGATGATGGGACACAGTGGTAAACATGCCTCAGTCCCAACTTATTTGGAGGGTGTTACAGCCATCAAAATCCAAATTTGTTTATCTTTACAAAATACAATTAAGTTGATCATTGAAAACATAGGAAATCTTTTCTTTGTGCTTTTGTCAGTTAAAAAAATTTGAACGTACTCCTCCGGAACTTTATTTATAAGACATAATTTGTCACAAATTCTGCAATCTGATGCAAACATATTGGCTGACAATTAGCTGAACATACTGATTAGTGACACTTAGTTAGCCTACATTTTAAAATCTGATTATGCTTGTACAGCACTTTGGTAAACAATTGTTGTTTTTAAAAAGCAAAAAAGTGCTCTATAAATAAACTTTGATTTGATATATATTTGAATATGGCAACATTTTTTTAACCTTAATTACCTTACAATATTTTGATGATTAATCGCTTTGCTTCAGAAGGCCTTTATTAACCCCCGGAGCCGTGTGGAGGTCTTTTATAATGGATGGAAGCACTTTTTTGAGCTTCAATCTGATGGTTGCAATCTACTGCCATTATAAAGCTCGGAAGTGTCAGGGTGTTTATTAATTTAACTCCGATTGTATTCGTCTGAAAGAAGAAAGTCATATACGCCTATGGCTTGAGGGTGAGTAAATCATAGGCTTGTCATTTTAAAGTGAACTACTCCTTTAAGTGTGAAGAATTCTAAGAATGACTCCTACTCTTATAGAAGTCCGACTTTTTACTAAGAATGCTTAGAGTATTCTTAAGAGCATTTCTGAGAAGTTTTATACATACAGGCCCAGATAACTTTGATAGCATTCTATTCGTTACTAGAAGAAACTATGTTCATAACATTGAAAGAATCTTGCCAGAACACTAGCCAAAGTTCTGAGAGCGTTCCCTAAGCTGGGAATCTGCTAAATGTGACTATAAGGCATGAAGATTTAAGATATTATAAACATAACATTGTGATTTTCTGTAAAGCTGCTTTGAAACAATGTGTATTGTGAAAAGCACTATATAAAATTAACTTTGACTTTGACAAATAACACTCTAAGGATGTTTCATTAAAATTGTTCTCTAAACGTTTTATGCAAACATTCCAAAAATATTTAGCAAATTTTAATAACATCATAAAGACGTTCCAAGAATGTTGTTCTAAGAGCATTTTCTCTCAATGTTATGAGAATGTTCATCAAGTAAAAATAACATTTTAAGGACGTTCCATGAACTTTGTTTTCACAACTTTTTCTCTCTACATTACGAGAACATTCAAGTAGCCTATCAATTACATTGTAAGGACGTTCCATGAACGTTGTACTCAGAACGTTTTATGTGTAACGAATTACAGTTTAAAATATATGTTTATATATTTTTAATTAATTTTAACGAATTATAATTAATTGTAAATATTTAAATGTTTTAGAATTGACTGTAGAAGAATTAATAGTACAATTATTTAATCAGTTCATCCAATGAACAAAAAGCATAATCAATTATTAATTCTAGGAAATATAGTATCTTCCTGGCCAAGAAAGAATAACCCTAAATCAAGTACTAGCAGTGTAATAGGTAGCTAGATCAATATGTTTAAGTGACTTTGATATTTTTGTGAGTGGCAAACACAGAGACAATAACGTGTGAATATAATGGTTTAATAAATGAAATGTAGGCTACACACACAACTAAACTAAACAAAGATTGTATACAGAATCAAGAAAGTAAAGAAAAGTGAAGAAAGAGAGAGCGAAGAAAAGAGAATGGCAAGATTACAATCAGTTAACCACAACCTACGAGAAACATCAGAGAATCAGGGTCACCTTAAAGGGGCACAATAACTTAGAAACGCATCTAAAGGCTGCACACGGGTACTTGCATTGGTTTTGGTTGCTGAACAAGTCCAGATGCAGATTCTTAAAGATTCTTGAGGATTCAGGAGTGCGCTGAAGCGTTCGTTTGGGTTCTTGGGGTGGTCCACGTTGAATCCAAAGAAGTTAACTTGAAGATGAAGTTGCCGGAAGAAGACAGGAAAATGTTGTCTCAAAGAGGTTGAGCAAAGTTCTGACCTAATCAGATACTTTTAAGGATCCTATCCGTTCACACCCATCTGGTGAGGTGACCAATCTAAGAAGACCTGGAGAAAGTCTTTGTTCATCTCATCTCCATTTGCATGTTCGTGGTGGCATGGAGAATTTGTGCAGTCTTTACACAAAAGTATGGTAACAAATATCCTGATGCAATTTATCATAACATATTGTACAATATTGATTATAAAATCAATGAAGCGGTCTTCCGCGAAGCCCGCATAGATGCAGGCTCCACACACTTTAACTACCCAGGAATCCTTGCGAAAGGCCAATCAGACAACGGATGGGAGGAGATTTCGCTCACGGACAATTGTTAACATGGCTGAGAAGAAAATATTTAAGTGTAATTAAAGTTAAAGTTTATACAAACATTATGATCATCGACCAGTGGTTGATGTCTCAAACATAGGCTAATAATAGCGAGCTGAATAATACGATCGCATTATGATTCATTAAATAAATAGAACAGAATGTCAGGGCTTTACTGAGTCATATGTAAACACAACAACAATAGGCAGCATATTTCCCCGAACCTGTAGCTCCTGTCCATAACAACAATCAGACCGTCTTCCTGTTTCCGGCGTGACGATCGAGTCTGTCCCAAAATACCTCTCAATGCGCCCTCGCGGACTCGCGCTAAGGGCCCTATAGGTCTGCACTACATGACGTCACCGAAGTGTGGACTCTGAGGAAGTCCACAAGTCCGGAGTGTGCCATTTGGGACAGGGCCTTACACTTTCTCCTACAATGAAGTAAAATGACGATTTTTGTATGGAGGAGGAAGTGAAAAAGGTAAATAGCGGATTTCTCTCATCTCAGGGGAAAATGAGAGAGTGTTGCACGACCATTCAATAGTATGACTGGGTTTCTAACAATGGAAAGCTTAATGCAAATGGGTGGGGTGTCCCTTTAAGGCCATTCGCTACAATGATAACTATAAAAACTATATTATTATTTTATAGCAAATAATAAAGCAAATAATAATAACATTAAAAGGACTCGAGAACATTCCATAAACATTATTTTAAGAACGTTTTGTCCAAACATTTACATCACTTTAAAAGAACATTAGTGAAAGTTATGGGAGCATTAGCTGGGTCTTTTTTTTTATTGCAGTACAATTAAAATTGCAGTAAGGCAATACAGTAACCATAAGGTTCCCACAGAACAAAGCTATAAAAAGGAAAAGGAAATAGAAAGATTAATAATAACATATATTTTAAAATATAGGCTAATAAAAATAGTAATAGCTTATACATCAGGGTGTTCTGATAAATTAAATTTCTTCAATTTAATCTTCCTCCACTTTTCGATTTTAAAATTCTCAAGGATTTACAGTAAAACCAAAATTCTTTTTGAAAAAAAAAAATGGCTTTGTTTTAAGGCACTTAGGCCTACATTTATGAATATAAATTTTCCCCAGTCTGAAAATATGAGTAAAAACTGAATGTTTACATCTTCCATTATTAGGCCTATAGCAAATGTTATGTATTTTTTAGAGCACTGAGCAATCAAATTAAATTGAAATTGTATGCAACAGTAGCCATTCATGTCAGACCAAAAGTCACTTTTGTTTGAACAGTCACTGTTGTTTCAATTTCAGTGTCAAATCTACTGTAGCCTACGTAACATCACTACACTCCAGTTCAGTAGGTGGCGGTAATGCCAAAGAAACTGGTTTGCTAACCGCCAGAATACAACACAAGAAAAAGAACCAATACCGCGAAATGTCAAATGAAAACAACGTGTGTCAACGGCACAATGAGGTAAAATAAAAACAAAGATAATTTCGCATTGTTGATGCGTTGTTCTTCAGTCAAGGTGAGCAATGAACAGCGCCCGGTGTTTCCTACTAAACATTTGAGATGTTTGCGTCTCACCACATGTGAAAATGTTGGTTTGATAGGACAGTTGCGCCATGGGTATTCTAGTTAGTAAAAGTTCTGCATTTGCTCTTGTTTTGTTGTTTACGGCTTGCTTTTTAGAATCACCTCTGATATTTGTCCTCCTTTATTGATTCATAATTTTGACATGTGCTGATCTTGAGTTAGACTTCATGAGGCGGGTAACGTTATACGTTGCTGGACTTTAACTCACCATGCTTTGTTTTTCATTGAAAGATTGTGCATATGTCTTTGTTAAAATCTTTACTGAATGCATATTATAATGCTTATTATCTGCTTTGCTTGCATCATGTTGAGTTTTCATGTTTTATTTTCTGTTGTTTGGTGCAGTTTTAGAAGGAAACCCTTAGAATCAGTCATGACTTCCACTGCATTCCTCAAAGGTAACGTTAACTTACTGATGGATATTACTTCAATTAGGAGATTTTTTGGGAACACTTTGCAATAAGGTTCATTTGTTAACTACCTTAGCTATGAATGAACAATACGTCTACAGCATTTATTAATCTTAGTTAATATTAATTTCAACATTTACTAATATATTATTAAAATCAAAGGTTGTATTTATTAACATTAATGCACTGTGAACTAACATGAACAAACAATGAACAGCTGGATATTTATTAACTAACATTTACAAAGATTAATAAATACTGTAACAAATGTATTGATCATTGTTAGTTCATGTTAGTTAATACATTAACTAATGTTAACTAATGAACCTTATTGTAAAGTGTTACCGATATTTTCTGTCCTCTAGGATGCTCTTATTTTAAAACGTGCATTAAAATTGTGTTAAAGGGATAGTTCACTTTGAAATTAATTTTTGCTATGTTTTAGCTTACCTCAAGGGCATCCAAGATGTAGGTGTCTTTGTTTCTGCAGTAGTTTCAATTTTGATATTTTTAGGTCAAACCGTTCTTGTCTGTCAGTCATATAATGCAGGTCTATGGTCACCACCTCAAAGAGCATGCACAGAGAAGTCCAAATTAAACATGATTTAATGACTCGTAAATGTAAGTACACATTGATGGCCTAAGACACGAAACGAGCGGTTTGTGTGAGAAAACGAACAGTATTTATATCGTTTTTACCTCTTGTAAACACAGCCACGTCCAAGTGATCTGAGGGCGCGGGCGCTTCGGTCTTTTCCGGCAAGCGCCGGAAGTGATCTCTCGCGCGTGTACGTCACTCATTGTTTACACAGAACAGAGATTGTAGGTAAGATGGCTAATTAAAATGGTACTAATTTGCGCTTATCCGGGATGTTTAAACCGTCGTAAAAGAAAACATTAAAAAAAATACAATTGTATGAGTGACGTACACAGCACGAGAGATCACTTCCGGCGCTTGCCGGAAAAGACCGAAGCGCCCGCGCCCTCAGATCACTTGGACGTGGCTGTGTTTACAAGAGGTAAAAACGATATAAATACTGTTCGTTTTCTCACACAAACTGCTCGTTTCGTGTCTTAGGCCATCAATGTGTAATTACATTTACGAGTCATTAAATCATGTTTAATTTGGACTTCTCTGTGCATGCTCTTTGAGGTGGTGACCATAGACCTGCATTATATGACTGACAGACAAGAACGGTTTGACCTAAAAATATCAAAATTGAAACTACTGCGGAAACAAAGACACCTACATCTTGGATGACCTTGAGGTAAGCTAAAACATACCAAAAATTAATTTCAAAGTGAACTATCCCTTTAACATTTTTTAACAAGGTCTCTGAACATTTTAATTTTAACATTTTATATGCACAGTGCTTAACTAATTTATTAGACCACCTGTCATAATAAAGAGAAAACACAAATATTTTATTCACACATAAAAAACGTAATATTTTTTTACTTTTTTATGCTGTCCTTTGGCCTTGATAACAGCTTGCATTCTTGCTGACATTGATTTTATGTACAGTACTTTTCCACAGTCTCTGTTGTTATTGACTTCCAAATAGTTTCTAGTTGTTCCCAAAGACTTGCTTTTGATGAAACTTTTGTGCAATCTATCTTTGAATCCACTAAATCCCAAATTTGTTCAATAGGATTCAAGTCTGGACTTTGAATTGGCCAACTGTGACTAAAGTGACAACTGTAACTGCATACATATACTGGTGGATTAACCTTTACAGAAACATAAAAATATATTTTTTGGTAATCCCCAAAACTGTTAGTTTAGGGCAGCTGTGGCAAAAATTTTACATTGGGTGGTGCTCTAATAAATTTGTTAAGCACTGTATATATTGTATCAAATCAGAGTTAATTGACTGAGCTGCTTTGCTTTAGCTTGTTCAAGGGTTTTCCAACTCTCTCAAAAAGTGTGAAATATCAATACCATCATATGCTATCAATAAGCCACACCTACACACATTATACCAAAAGATCTTTATTCCTGGATGTGATAAATGTTTTAACATTTGAAGATTATTTGCCAGTGGTGCCATAACTTGATTATTATTATGAAACAAACTTTTTTTTGTTGTGCATTTGAATTTGTTTATCCACTTTCTGTTTCTCCATTTGAAGACGTGGTGGCGTATGTTGATGTGTGGTCTGCGAGCCGGATGGAGGATTACTCTGATCCGTTCATCCAGCAGCTGTTGGACATGGGTGCAGAGGTGATCACTTTTTTGTCTACTGTTTTACAAATGAAATTAGTGTTAAAATGTAAAATAAATGACCACATTTTAAATTGCAGGTATCGAAGACACTCAACAAACAAGTGACCCATGTAGTCTTCAAACATGGCCGCCCGTCCACATGGAAGAAGGCCCAGAAAATGGGTGTAAGGATTGTTTCTGTCCACTGGGTAGCCAGGTAAAATGTGTAGCACACACAATTAATCTTCTGCATGTTCATCTCAACATCTCAATAAAACCAGCAGTAGGGCTGTCAAAAGGGCTGAATTTGAATTTAAAAAGCATAATTTAATTTAGAGGAAAAACAGCTTTTGGCTTGTCTCCTTAAGGCCACAAGAGGGCGCAATGAGCCAAATAATAATGCACAGCATTAAATTATTTATTCAAAGAAATGAACTAATATGACTGTCTGTAAAAGTGCATAACGTTTAAACTAATGTTAATAAATCAAATATAATTTTGTAAATTTCATGAATAATTATAAACATAATAGCATCATTCAAGAGTCGAAGCGCTGACAACACAGAGTAAATCTTTTTGCGATTTTTAAAAACATGACATGCAGTCGAATGGGAAAAAAACCCACGAAGTCTTGATATATTTTTTTAAAGTTGAACTTCTTTTAACTTTACATGGCTTTCTAAACATGCTGCTCTCCTGTGCGAGACGCAAGCGCAACAGTCAAAGTTGTCCGTCTTGTGCATGTTTGCACAGAAATCAATGGAAAAGCAGTGCAGAAAATGCATTCTGTTTGTGTGAACGGCTTGGTTACGGTTTAGACGTAACCAAGATTTTCTCCGCGTTAAGCTTCTCTATTTCTGCAATGTTTTGCATCTAGTACCGCATATAGTAGGGTCAACTAGCTCATGACACAATGTCAATGTCATCATCCCATCCCATTTTTACATTCGAACATGGATTTTTATTTTAAATTTTACGTATATTCAAAATTCTAATTTTAATTTGACAGCCCTAACCAGCAGTTTTGTAAGTTTTTCAAATAAATTTTTTTTTTTCTAGACCACGTTGTTAATTTATTTTCCAAAGGTTAGATACGAATAATTAGTGCCTGGCTGATATGGATTTTTGATGGTTAATACAACATTCCAGAGAAGGGACAAATAATTTATTATTATACATTTATAATAGTTTATAATTTTCTTTTGAACATAATGTAAAGGGATAGATAGAAAAATCGTATATGTTTGGAATGACATGAAGGTGGGTAAATAATGACAATAATGACTTCTTTTTTTTTTTCTTTTTTTTTTACCATCCCAACAATTGGGAAGAACTTAGTGCATCTTAAAAAGGCCCATTTTATAGCATTCAAAGGTGCTGTAAATATTTTTAAATTACATACATAAAATGTACCTATTGCTTGAAATGGGTGTCTTGAGAAATCACATCTTGTCCTTGTAAACAACAGACTCAGGGGAGCAACTCATCCTTTGTTTTAGCCAATTTTTAAAAGTCTCTCTTCTTGTCAGTCATTTTTGCATATTGATTCGCTAATATAGTTGCATGACATGCCTTTGGAGTACAGCATTTTGTTAATGGCAGTGACAGCATGTTCTCTGTAGCCGGTTGTGTAACCGCTTAGACTAGTCTTAAAAGTTAGTCATCTAATTGTTTTCTTCAAGACTGGTCCTAACTTTTTAAAGTCAGTTACATAAAAGTATAACTAATTTGAATGAGAAAAGTAAGACTGATTACAATGACTAATTGCTAGTTGGTCAAATTAGTTCTTAAAGTCCCTGTAAAGTCAAAATTTTGTATGTATTCTGAGTTTGTCACACCACAGAAAAATGTGTTATTAGCCACCCTGCCAAATTTGAATGATAAAAAAAGCCAGCAAGTACATAAAATAAGCTATCAAAATCTTGAAAAAATGAGCAGTAGTCTCTGCTCTCAAACGCGGGGGGCGTGTCCGCTGGCTGCGCTGAAACCACGCCCACTCGCGGGAAAGCTGCCGTCGCCACACTCAACTCTACAGCCGGAATAGATGCTCGCACGGTGGGCACGCACTGCCGATGATGGCACCAGTTGTCGGCACGACGGGAGGATGAATGCCGAGGCGGAAGATAGTCGGTTCGGCCCCATTCACCAGTAACAGCGGATTATCAGTGAATGTCTCAGTTGTCTCCGACGAAAGTTTATAAAACTATCCCGTGTAAAATGATCACTTACAGAGGCGGGTTTTGGCAGTGATCCTCAGCTCTCCATCAAGGTTGGCTCTTCACAAAATTAATCCACTTCTTCTTGATGTAATCGTTTTTCGGAAATTTAAATAAGGACACCGATCTGTTTTGTATGTGATCCGGTGATCGCATCCAGGTAGTAGGCCTACGCATTTCCGTGACGAAGGCATAGCTAGCTAGCAATCTGTAGGCTGCTGTAGTAACTAATAGTACTGACCGTAACTCACGATTGAGCGGCAAAACTGATGTGAATGTGCTCTATATTGTTAGGGGAGCGGACAGCATGAGCGGACAGCCTCAGTGGCTCCAGTGCGTCATCAAGTAGGGGCGTGTCCAGGAGCTCAGGGGCTCCAGTGCGTCATTGAGCCCCGTTTTAGCCCCGCCCAAAAAATCCGGAAAATAGCAATGGTGAAAAACTATTTAACGGTCTAACTCCACAATTCAGTACTTCACAGTTCACAGTCTTTGTAATATGTTTTAGCAATACATTTCTAACATTTATAATATGTTTAGATTTTTTTTTTTAAATTGCCTTTACAGGGACTTTAAGACACAGTCTTAACATAGTGGCTAAGTTTATGCAACTAGCCACTGGTCCAGTTTTAGTTCTTGGACTCCATCAGTGACCTTTTTTTTGTGTTGCATTTCTTTGGATGGCCTTTAGATGTCTCTAGACCTCAATGTTTCCTTTTCATGAGCCTTTTGAATTCTATTCATGATATGTTTGCAGATGCAAAGAGAGTAACGAACATGTAGACGAAGATCTTTTTCCTGCTCAGAATGAAGTATCCAAACTTCATCTTCTGAATAAAAGAACCGTAAGAAAATAAAAGAACATGCATATATTTTTACTTTTGAATGGTTGCTGTAAAAAATCTAGGTAAATAAATGAAATAACCCCACACTTGCGTTTTTGTGTTTGATTTGTTTTTCCAGCACCGTTGCATGCAGCCTAGAGATTTTCCTATAAAGACCCCTGAGAATGACAGGCGACTGAAAAAAAAAATTGACAAGATGATGGAAGACATGATCTCCTCATCCCCTGTTGGTGAGGAAAGCATAAGTTTGTTTCGTTAATTTCATGTTTATTTCATTCAACAAATTTGTGTGGGTTTTTTTAAATGCTGTTTTTTATTTTATTTTTTTATATAGTTTCTGACACTTCACCATTCGTTATTGATGAGGAAAGTGGAATAGTGTACAGTCCCTCTTTAAAACGCTCTGACGGCATGGCTCAGCGACTGAGAGAAATGAGAGCGCAACGTGAACATCTCTCACCCACTGGTATTTCCTCAAATCCTTTTGAGAACTATTTTAATTTCTGAACTAATAATTTTGTGATTGTTCTAGGGGTGTTATAGAGATGTGAATCTTTGAGTTGACAGTGAATTGATTTGATTCACTATTCATTGGTTTTCATTTTAGGGCTTTTCACATTTGAAATATTTAACCCTGGGTCATTCTAAACCACAACAGAATACTGGGCTATCTTGTGAGGGGTGAAGTTGCAAGCACTGTAAACTTCACAATAATTATTAGAAATGGGCTAATTTGACTGGAGTAAGACCATGGACGTCTCTCGAGCTGTGGCAATCTTTTTTGGCGCTCTAACGTTGCGTGACAGATCGCTGTAGCATCTCAGTTCAAGCAAACGACACCGCCAAGCGCACATGAACGGATCACCTTTACAGCACGAAAAGAATCACAGGGCTCCAGACTAACTTTTTGCCTTGGTTGCACTGGTGCGCCTAACTTTTTTATTTAGGTGCACCAGCACAAAATTTAGGTGCACTAAAATTTTTCCTCGTCTCGCGTTGCCTTTAACGCCACAATTTCAAGGTCACCTTTTTATCACGCTCCATATACATTCATATATATTATGTAAATGCTTTTAAACAAGAATAATAATAATACATTTTTTTTGAAGCACAATTATACTGTATATAAAAATGTTAATCTTTAAAAAAAATAAAACATTTAAAGTGCTGTTTTTACATTGTTCAAGTTAGGGCAGGGTATTGACACAAATTTCACAATTCGATTCAATATTGATTATTTTGGATATCAGGTACAATACATGGCAAATTTTCTCAAGGAAAACAAATCTCTTAACTAATGCTGTAAACTGGGAGTCAGTTGTAGCCCACTATGCTTCATTAGCCTACTATAATATTGAAGGTAAAAATTACCTGATTTGTACACAAACACTTAAATTACACTTTTATTTATTTTTATAATAATAAAGTTATATGAAATATAAACATTTAAATGGTGGCTGCATAAAAACTTGCCAGATTTTTTCAAACAACATGCATTAAATATTGAAAAACATTAAAAAATTATAATGAATATGCAATATGGTGCATATATTTGGCAAAATGCTCCTCCCTAGAGTTAATTTTTCTAGCTAGCTAACGAGTTTATGGTCACTGGATATGTTTTTTCTGAGGTAAATGTGACGTTACATGACATTGTTTACAAGCGTTTTACTGACGTCTTTCCACGGTTGAAACACTGATTGAGCGATTCCATGTGAAAGATACGGATTTCGATAAGTTGTACTCTATCTTTTAGCACACTTTCAGATGCTCGTTCATGTTTATTTCGCGCTGTAACTGGTATTATTAAGGCGGAAGAGAAGATCATGTGCACCCCGCGCTGCTGCTTCTCTGGGGCTGAGCTGAGCCAGAGCGATCTCACGCAACAGCGTCAAAACACTATTTATGTTTTTGAATTTCATAAGAAAATGGACCTAATTTGAAATCTGAGACTTTGTTTCATATCAATAGTAACAAAGCACAAAGATTATTGCGATTTATTGGATGGGATGCTCGCTACAATGTTCCATTCATTCATCAACTGAAAACAGCATAGCCCAACGGTTCGTAAAATGAGAATCGATTAAAATCGAGAAATCAATATTTTTTTACCTAGTTCAAGTAGCCTACATTTTTTAAAGTTTCTTCGTCGTCTGTTTTCTTGCGTTTATTTAGCTGATGCTGCTGATTGCCGTAACTGATTCTCTGGTGCTCACGTCGCAATTTATTTCTATCACACAGACAGCACGGAGCATTTTAGTCCTACAGGAATATCTGAACCACAGCCAATCAGAGGCAAAGACCAGCCCAATCTCTATCTCTGATTGGTTTAGACCACGATATGATCCAACCATGCGTGCAAGGAGAACAAAAGACTCGTTTGTTGAGAGGCAACGGATGCGATCATGCGAGAAGGTTAGGTGCACTGGTGCGACCTAGGAAAAAATGTAGTCGCACCCTTACAAATTTTGGTCGCACTCTAGAGCCCTGAATCATGAAGGAACACAGGGCCCGAAATGAACGCTTGTCCGGGACAAGTGAAAGAAAAATAACTAGGGAAGCATCTAAATGTTAGAATATTTCTGATTTTATTACATTCAATGTAAACAGTGGTGATAAGGGATAGTTTATTTCTGGTAACAAAGTCTCGTTGAGGCTCGTGCTGACTGTCTCTTTGTGAGAGAAATCAAAATAAATGAGCATAACAGCACACACAAGAAACTCACAGACGAAATATACTGGGGTTAAAATTCTAAATGTTTTTTTTATTTTTAACATATGATATAATTAAGTAACATAACACAACTAAGGGAGCTGTTTTGCTGAATATTATCACGATTGCAAATGTTACATTGAATTTATAGTTCATTAAACAAGTAGCCTAGTTAATATTAAGTTACTTACATGTAGCCTGTGGGCCTGGTTAGGATTGGGTTCCTTCAGTTTACGCTCGGTCTGACTCTTTCATTTTCATGTTTAATCACGTCACTAATTGGTGGGTGGAGCGGGCATTTAATAAGCCATCAAACGCGATTGAGGCAGGCTTCTATATAAACACCTGGGGCCTCATTTATAAAACTGTGCGTAGGATCCTTACTAAAAGTGTACGTGCGCCCGAAAGCCAAAAATGGCGTACGCAAAAAAATATTCAGATTTATAAAACCGTGCGTACGCCAGAACCTGCGCAGAATTCACTTTATAAATCCCGATAAATCTCAGTCAGCGGAAGATTGTGCGCACACGCGTCTCCTCCCCGAAATAACCATATATGGAGCTTACAACGCCTAGTTTTACTATGCATATCCTCATCTGCATATCATTTGCATATGATTATTCATCCACGTGATAACATGTTTAACGGTATAGACATTAGGAAAATATGAAATAGCCTAATACGGATGTGCCGTCACATTAGCCTACATTAATAAAAATAATTTAGTAGCCTATCCTTGCCTTGTTTTTGAATAAATAAATCAAATAGTGTAAAATACATTTCAGAGAAAGTTTTCACAATCTTTTCCACTGACCAAATAGTATTTTTTATTGATTTATATTTTTAATGGAAACAGATAGACTGTTGTGCATTATTTGCACGAAACTATTTTCTCAGACAATCTTCTATAAGCAATTATCTCTTTAGTTAAAATATTAAAACACAGCATGCCAGAGGAAAAGTGTTCAAAAGCATTGCATCCACAAGAAATATTTATATTTATTGAATATAAAAAATGTTGTAACTTCTCAGTAATGATTTCATGTTTAAGTGTTTAACTCCATCAATGACAATGGCATATTTAATCTAAATGTTTATATCAGAAGTAAAACAGTTTAAATCATTCTTTTATTTATTTAAACTGTTATTGTGAACATGCACTGTTTTTATGATTAGGACTCTGTCGTTAGATAGGCGTTAGTTTCACTAAACGGCACAACGCGCTCGCTGGCGCGGACATTTAAGAAGGGATGAATATTTGCCTCAAGTGATATGCTTGGTGAGTGAAATTATATTTGTATTATCTTTCTGTATAGCCTATGTATAATTTTCTTTAGATTTTCTGTCTAAAAGTGACCAAAAAGACATTTAACTCCAGCTCACCATCGGTGTCGCCAAACTGCTCCGTCTCCAAAACGTTCGTACGCATGGGTCAGAGTTTGCGTGCAGGTGCGCACATTTTTCCGTCAAGTTTGTTTTTATAAATCACAACTTATGCGTCGGAAGTGGCGTACGCCTCTTTCAGGGCCTGTTTTGTGCGTACGCAACGGTTATAAATGAGGCCCCTGGTGTCCTTAGACTGGAACAGTGTAAATGTACTGCTGGCTCTGGTGTGGTGAATCAGCGATTCAGATGCTGTTTGAGTGTTGAGGTATGTTTAAAAGCGTTTTTCTTCTGTCGTTTTTCACTGTGGGTTAGATTGCCAAGTGAGTGTTTGTTTTAATAGTGCGTGAAGGAGCCGACGCTGATTGAGCCGCAGCGCGCCATTGTCTTCCTGTCTGACCATGTATGGGCGAGCGAGCAAAGTAATGCCAAACTACGTCCGCGTTTAATAAACATCGGCTGGAGACTGACTGCAGTGGGATGTTTACATTCAACTAGTCTTCCCTTTTTTTTTTCACTGTGAATGTTACGACAGGTATGTCTTGAATTAAGTTCTGCCTGTATTTCTTTTCCCTTGCGGATGGCTTGGTATTCCCTAGTTATGTTTATTTGTTTTATTTATTTATTTTTGACCAACCAACATCTTCAATAATTCTTCAATAAACATTGTATTTTTATACTTTTCTAAGAACCTGTGTTTGTACATTTTATTGGGGTAGAGTTCCCCTTGCTCTAATACTGGCACTAACTAGTTTAGGCCAAGGGGTGGCGTAGTCAGTTGTACAATCGGGTGCCACAAATTGGCGCAGTCGGCAGGATTTATTTTTCCTTTGAAGTGTTGGTTGGCTATATAGAGCAGCAAGTGTGTGTGTGTGTGTGGAGAACAGCGGCTGGCAGCATGATGGACTCGGGCGACGCCGGTGGAGGATTTGATGCGGCGCTGCAGCAACTGCGGGACCGTGTGGCACAGCTCCAAGCTGAAAATGAGAGACTGTCAGGTGCACAAGTAAACGATGCTGGCGGAAGTGATCCCCTGCCAGTACGAAGAGAGCAGGCAGTATATCTGCCTAGAGAGAGACGGTGCTCTAAATTCTCTGGCTCTGTAACAGCTGGGTCACTTTCTATTGAAGAGTGGAGTGAAGAAGTACAAAGTTGCATTAGGTCGAGGTACATGTCTGATTTGGAAAAGGCAATGTTTTTGTATGACCATTTAGAGGGCGAAGCCCGAAGTGAGATTAAATATCGACCTGTAGTTGTAAGAGAAAATCCTACAGAAATCATTTCAGTGTTAAAAAGAGGTATATGGATGTTCTAAGTCATATGTATATTGGCAGCAGCGTTTTTTTGACAGAAAACAAAGAGAAAATGAG